AAAAGGAAAAGAAAAATAGTACTCCATTAGGGTAATAGAATATAATATACTGAAAATGCATCCATTTGATATATGTAAAGTCACTGAAGGAAACGAGCCAAAAAAGTATATCATACAATGATATGACAGGACCATAAGAACACCAGAGGGAATGAAACTTTAAATCAAGAAATAGGAAGAGTTCCTTGTTCGCACTCTGAGATATCTACAAAGTAACAAATGCCATACATAGCATGGTCTGGGGGAGCCTCAGGGCCATCTTTAGCCAGGTTTCAAAAGATCTTGCCAGTGCAGGGACTAGCAGGAATAAGAAAAAGCAGATGGTCTGACGGTGAGTGCTCAGAGAACAGGGACGACTTCTGTATGATCAGTGGATCATTCACAGGAAATGACCAGAAGATTACTTACAGGTAAATAGAATTGTGATCTTTTTTTTAAAAAGATCAGTTGGTATAGTAATAATCTCCTGACATTTTATAAAGTAATTTCATAAAAAAGTTATTTTTATAAGTATGAGATGGAGAATTAAGAAGTAATGATTTTGCATAATAAGAAAAAAAGCAGTGGCCAGAGTTCGATTCTGGGCCTGCTGTGCTGCCCCCCCGCCCCCAGGGCACGCTGAGATGGCAACTGAGACTGCGTGTGGTGGCCCGCGCCTGTAATCCCAGCACTTGGGAGACTGAAAACAGGAGGATCACCAAAAGTCTGATCTGTGTAGTGAGACCCTGTAGACCCTGTACTAAAATACAAGGAGGAGGAGGAGGAAGAGGAGGAGGAGAGAAAAGAAAGAACGATAGAAAGAAAAAAAGAAAAAAACTTAGCACTCCCAAGACAAGATTTACTCATTCTGGATGGGAAAAGGTAGATCTAAATCAGATTTTTTTTATATGAAATATGGCAAGTAAACTTTTCCATTAAAGCAGAAAAGAACTAAAGAGCTGGATGACAGGCTGTGTTGATTTTGAAAGCAAACAAAAGTGAAAAGTAGGAAGGGAATTACTTTGAAAAATATTCTCAGTGTCAAGAAAGGTGGACTGCCCATCTGAAAACTAAGTGGATCAAAGAAACTCCTAAGGAGCCCTTGCTGTAAATCTAAAATAGCCATCACTCTCTTCAACTTAAGTCACACCCCTGACATCCAGGAAAAATTCAGAATGTATTTAATCTGAATCTAACATTCATGAACCACAGCTGTATATATAATTTCTCACATACCATGTTTTATGTGTGATTGCAAATTTTGTTCATATAATGGGGGAGCCTTATGTTTATGTTATATTTCAAAATATAAGAATACGCAACATCACAAAATTATTTATCCTTTATAATAATGGACTCTTCTTATAGACTGTCAAAGACAATTGTGTTTTTAGAGACAGCGTAGAAATTTTGTAAATGTCCTACCTATCCCTGAGAATGGTCCAGAGTTCTCCACCTAGGCAAGCTTCCATCAACATATACAAATATTTGCTGTCCTTAAACGTTCTGTATAACCTGTGAAGTACAAACAAGAAAACAAAGGTATGAAAACTATTGCTTTAAAAGCATGTAACATTTAAGCATAATTGTAAATACTTATATGTATTACATATAAGTAATACATATAATTGTAATACTTATGGGGTACAACAGAATGTTTTGATGCATATACATATAGTATTTCATATTCAAAAGAGGTATTTAGCATATGTATCACCTCATATATTTATGGTACAAAGTCACGGCTAAGTAGAATAAATTCTGGTGTTCTATTATGTAATAAAGCCAATTATAGTTAATCACATTGTAGTGAATTAGTCAAAGTTGCTAAAACAGGGAACTTTATAAGTTATCACAAATCACAAATATTTCTGAGTGCTGGATTAGAGTGTCTTGATTTGGTGTACACTAAATTTTTTTTGGTTGTTATGAGAAAGGGTCTTTTTATACAGTGAGGTTGAAGTCAATGTGTTATCCACACAGGCCTTGAACTCTTGCACCCAACTCCTGACTACTGGGATTCCAGCCATGTAGTACCACAGCCAGTGGTAGTACACAAAATTTGGAAGAATGAAAGAGTAATTCTACAAAGAGGGAAGACAAGCCAGTTGAGTACAACTTCCATTCCACAGAGGGTTCACATCTTGCTTGAAATGGATTAATCTAAGTGGTCACGGACAGGGGCTCTGGAGATTCTTTCAGTTCCAATTTGGCTAATGTTTCAAGCATGGATTCTTAAGCAGCACTTGTTAGTGGTAAACACGGTGTGTACATAGATATGAAGTAGATTAAGTTTTGCTACATGTAGATGCACATGAATTTCATATGCTATTTCCTTATTTTTATGTTGTATTTTCTCTAAGTGCTAAGTACAAAAGCGACATCAGCCTATGAAAAGCTCCCCATTATCCTCTCAGTGTTCTCAAAATACTGAGGTGAAAGGATCAGCTACGGTTTTGTTTTAAAAATTTTTTTAGAATACAGAATATATATATTTTTAAGCACTGTCTGTCTACGTAGTGCTATAGGTAACAGGTTCAAAATGGAGTGTGAGAAATAGATGCCTCCTTTGGAAAAACATTCTTTTTAAAATGTTAGATGCTCTTAAAAAGTAAGGTAGGCTCCAACTTTAATTCTGTAATCACAACACTCAAGTGTCTTAGTGAACGGGCAGGACGTGTGGCCAGCGGCAGGCGCCAGCCGGCCGGTCACCCTGAGGGCGCGGGCGGCCTCACCTCACGATGAAGTCGGAGTGAGCCCCCTGCATGATATGCTTCTCGGAGCGAATGTGCTCCTGCTGTCTCGTGTCCACGATGTGACGTTTCTTGAGAATTTTCATAGCAAACGTCTTCGATTCTTCACTTTTCAACTGGACCTTGAAGGAAAGCAGGAGGGACGCATGAGGCAAGGCATCTAGATTTAGTGTAATCGAGAGCATTGCTATCCTGGGACTGACAGGTACATGGGGCACGTAGAGGAAGCCTAACTAAGCCCAAATCACAGATGCCGAAACCCTTGCTAGAGCCATAGCGCTGGGTGCCCTGGAACGCTCGTGTGGTTCCAGCAGCGGGGAGGCTGAGGCAGCAGAAACGCTGCAGCTGCAGGCCCGCCGCGGGCGACGCAGTAAGTCCCAGGCCAGCCTCAACTGGGAGAAAGGCTCTGTCTCAAAACAAAGCAAAGCCAACAACAATAAAATACCTCACTACTCAAAACCACTGCACATCATCATTCCACTGCATCAGAGATTTAACTAATGAGACTCCCACTGGATTATTTTTTTGTCCACATGGACTAGAAGAAAGAATATATATGATTGTTCTTAATGATACTGTTTCTTAATTATACGTCATATAACATATTTGAGCATATTTTACAGGTTTTTTTTCCTTCTGGGTCTTTATACTCTACCTCTTTACCACTAAATCACAAATCAATTACTGACCCTTGGGGCTGGGGAGATGGCTCAGTAGAATAAGCGCATGCCTGGCAAGCACAAGGGCCTGAGTTTAATTCCCGGCTCCGCAAAAAAAAAAAAAAGAAAAGAAATCACTGCCCTTTGCCTCTGATGAACTGTTGATGTACATACTGTACTGTTATTCCTTTTGCTTTTTCTACCTCTCAATCTCTTCCCCTTCCTCCAGTTGAAGAAAAAAAACATATAACACAATTTCCTCCAAGAGATTCTAAACAGTGTTTTCCTCTAACATGTGCGATGAATAATAGACTTTGCTCTCAGGCACTCCTCTGTCCTTATGATAACTGGAGAGTGCTAAGCTGAGCCTTAAAGTCCCCAAGATGCCATGACTCTGTGGCAGCCCGCACAGCTTGCAGCGGCTCTGGGGGAGGCTGGGTCCTCTGCGGGCTGTATTTCACCTAAGCTGCTGTGTTTCTTTTACAAGGAATTGGAACAAGGTGACTTGTAAGGAAGGGAAAGCATGTAATGGAAAATCACCCAGTAGCCATATAAGGGAGCTACCAAGGGTTCCTGAGCAGCACTTATGAAAACTTTGGAGAAATAACATGACAAGCTCCTGCTTTTCAGCTGAAGTACAGCTCTCCTCTCTCTGGTTATGAATTATTTAGGGCTTCATCTATAGGATTAGCAAAGCTCTCAGGTGTTTTCTTCATGCATACACATACACACTGAATTCAGTCTGAGGGGACGTTAATGTAGCCAGTTCCTTAGAAGCAAGCATGAGGACACTTCAAATAATGAAGGAGCTCCAGTTTGCTGTCACCCTGTATAACTCTGTATGACAGGTTAGAGGGAAAAATGGAAATCTGAAATGTCTCTAACTGCTAAAGGCCCTCTACTGGGCCCGTGAAAGTCTTGTTGTTTTTTTTTTTTTTTTTCTTTTGTAGCAACTCTTTAGGATGACAGGTTAGTATAATGCCAATGCATTCTGCTGTAGTTCAGAATGAAACACAAAATGGGGAAACTTCTAAAGGAAATATGGATGGAGAGGGAGGATGACGTGAAAAGTGAGCTGCTGGAGGCTGACAATTTGGAAGAGAAGTCACCTTTCCCCTCCAGAGTTATACCTGGGGGGCTGGGGATTTGGTTCAGCAGTAGAATGCTTGCCTAGCAAGCTGGAAGCTCTGGGTTCAGTCGTTGGTACCAAAAAACAAAAAATAAACCTCCCCTAAAAAGCAATTCAGCAGAGTTACACCCAGTTGAACAATGGAGGACTGTTTTGCAGAACAAATGCCTAATGTAAAACTTATTCCACTTACTGATGACAGACTTTGCAAATGTGTGTAAGGGGTGTGGAAAGGGTTCACCTTTTGTGGTCATAGGTCTGGACTTGAGCTCTGACTCTGTACCATTCCTCTCAAACTCTTGGAGCAGTTTTCTAACTGCCTTGAGCCTTCTTGCCAAGGACAATACCAGATACTGCACAGAGCTATTCATTCTTAATCTTAAAAAAATTTAAAAATCTTTTATTTATTTGTGATAGGATCTCCCTATGCAGCTGGGACTTGTAGTGAGCCTCCTGTCTCAGCCTCCACAGTGCTGGGACTACATGTGTGCACCATCACACGAGTTTTTGGTGGCTGGGATGGCGTGCCTTGAGTTCAGGGGCCAGAACCAGGGATTGAACTCAGGTCCCCGGGCTTGACAGGCAAGCACTTATTCTGCTGAGCCATCTCCCCAGCCCTGCTTGCACTCTTGCCCTGCTCAGCAAATCTGCACCGAATAGGACAGATCAAATATTGCTCTTCATAATGATCCTCTTTCAGAAAAGCAAAGATTCATGTTCAGGTCATTTGGACATAAACTATTCCCAGAATAGGATATTTTTCTTCTGCTGAATATAAAACAAATTAAAATACAATGATTGTTCCTTTACAAATCAAGAGTTTAATGGGATCTGATAAATGCAGGCTCTCTGTGGAAAAGCTGAGCCTTGTGTTTATTCCCTTGATTTCAATTTCACTAACACCAGGTATGAGATGGAAAGAACCAGGTAAAGTGTGTGGCCATTTTCTCGGGCACTTACCTTGACCTCAATGTGGAGTCAGGGACTTGGGGCACCTGACTTATCAGGAATTTGAGGCCCTGCACTGGTTGAGTCTTAGGAGGAGAAAGTAAGGAAGGGGTAGGAAGAAAGGGATGACAAGAGGCAGATACAGGTAGCATGCAAAGTAGAGAAAGGCTACAGGGATTGTTTGAGGCCCTCTCTCTCTGTATTGCAAAAACTCCACTGCCTTTTTTGAATATAGCTTTTACACAAGATCTCCATTTGCAGTTTAAATTGGATGCCAGCAGACTCTCAGAACCCAGCTTCCTAACCAGGAAATCAGAGCATGCGGAGATGGCTGGGGTGAGCCAGCACTGTCGGGTAGCCTGTACTGATACAAGCAATTCTCTGGAGAAAGCCCAGTGTGCTCCCAGAGATCTGCTGGGAAACCGACAACTTCCTGAACACTGCTAAGGATGGACAACTGAACAACATTTGCACCACAGAAAAAGCTGGGAAAAAGTCTAAATGTCCAGTAGTAGGACCTTGGACAATTAAATTATTATGTCTATGCAATACAATTTTAAAAATTATAGGTTAGAATTACAATTAACATTTTGGAAAAATAACCCATATATATGATATCCATACCATATGTATATGTTATTATATACATGTGATATATATGGTACTCATCACTAGAGTACATTTTATTATACCCTAAATAGTGTATGTATGTGTTAGATATGTGTATATTTAATTGCATGGATATCTAAAGTGAACCAATGAGTTAGAAGTTAATCAATATATTAAGAATGGTTTTCCTTCAGGGAGTATTAGTTTTTTTATTTCTTTTTAGCTTTTCAATTACTTAACATTACATTAGTCACATCTCTTACATTTATGTATTTATGTATTATGTATTTATGTATGTATTTATTTATTTATTTATTTATTTATTTATTTATTTATTGTGGCCTGCTCATCCTGCCCTGGGGACAGGACCTGCGTGGCATGTGGTGCCAGGGATCAAACCACAGTTTCTGCACTTGCCTAAGTTTGCCTAAGCAGGTGCTTTAGAGTGCTGAGCTATCTCGCCAGCCCAGCTATCTCACCAGCCCTCACATCTCTCACTTTTATAAGTAAAAATAAAACTAGTTATAGAAAACATTTTTAAAGTACTTGTTAATTTTTAATAGCTATTTATTATAGTATGACTTCTGAAAAAGACTTTCAATTCTGTTAGACATCCATGAATATAGCAGTCTTAACACAACATGGAAAATTAATCAACTTTTGTGCTAAACCACACTGTTCATTTTTCTAAAAGACTTTCTATCATTTACTTTTTTCACGATGAGCTCTCAGATTAAGATATAGCACTATATATACATATATTACATATTTGGTATAGGGTCTCACTGCATATTTGGACTCATAATGATCCTCCTGTTCTCAGCCTTACCTATAACAATTTGCAAAGTGGGTAAAACTTAGTTTGCCTTTTGTTTTTCTGTTTGCCAGATTAGTTAAATTGAATCCAGTTGTGCTAATTTGAAATGATGATGATTTTTATTATTCTGCATTTGGTCCCCTAAAGATATAAAATTAAAGTGTGGGTAGAGGTCAGCGAGGAGGGGAAAGCACACCCTTCTTACTCCTCTTGCCCTGGAATACCTTCCAGTCCAGCGGCTTAGCATGTTTGCCGGGTTCGTCTTCCTTCACAGACTATCCTGACATCTTTGGTGCACAGTGCAGGGCACTGGGGGAGGGTGTGACCTGAGTTACATTGGACTTGCTTTAGTTGAAGCTCAGCTTTTATTGGCTCATGATCTCAAACAAGTTCTTCGAACTACCTGTTTGGCTGTTTCCTGTCTTTTCATTCTGGAAGAATATTCATGGGATAATTATGAAGTTGAAACGACAGAGCCTTTTGTCTGGAATACAGTTAGTATTCATCGACTGTTCAGTGAATACCAACTGCTCCTTTTCTTACCCACTTCTTAGTTTAATGGTCTCATCAGGCCTAAGTACTTTCCTCACAATATGCATCATGACAGGCTGAACATCCCTTTGTCCCACCCCCATCTGCACTTCAGTTCAAGTCAGTGCCACCGTAAGGTCAAGCTGAAGAACACCTAGGATTGATAACATTTATACCACAGTGATTTGACTCTCAAAATTTCTACAAAGTTTACATGAAAATTCTAATGCTTAACATCTTCATTTCATCTTATAAAGATAGCACTATGTGCTATATGAGGTTAGAAGTGTTCAAAGTTTTATTTATAGTCAAATGTGCCTCCAGTGTAAAGCCTTATGTTGACAGTTGATTGAGCGTATACTTGCACAAAGTGAGTGTCAAGACGGGAGATTGTAGCTTAGGTTTTGACAAGTTGTAACAGACTCCAGC